AGATGGAACTGGAACAGCACCAGCCGCCTGTCTCATATGGACGCCACACGGGGACAGGGTCGAAATGAATGCAGGCTACGGATACCTGTAGCTAACCTAATGGTTGGAATCTTTTTAACCACTGGAAGGGCTCCCCCACAACTTTGGCGACCTTTCAGGGGGCGACGGGCGATAGAAGCGCCAAGCTTCAGCAAGTGGCCGGAAGCGACGAAAAGCGGACGGTTTGGAGTGTGGCTCAATGGCAGGAATGAATGATGGAGGTGGTGATGTTCAGATACGGTGAATTGAAAGAAAGGTTAAGTAAGAGTCGAAGAGCAGTGGAAAGCAAGGTACTGTATGTAAGGTATTTCTTGCCAATGCTTGTCTATTTGCCTCTTCTGATGGATTAGGTAGTTGGATGAAAGAGAGTGAGTCAAGGGCAATCAAAGAAGAAGGACAAAGTAAGAACGAAAAGAATGCAACGCAATGTAGATCAACCAACGATCGACTCAAGTCAATCAACTCCAAGTGAATTCATCAACTGACCCTGACCGACCCCAATTCCATGGATCCAAAAGGGGGTTCAAGTCGAGTTGGGTTTAGACCGGATCGGGCGTGGTGGGAGCTTGGATGAATGGATGTTCAGGGGACAACTCCACCATCATCACCAACCGGACCTGACCTCACTCACAGCTTAACTTGTTCTAGAAAATAGCGTACGTACTGTGCAGCTAAAGCCAAGGGCCCCAAGTTGTGGGTGTACAATCCGAGGCGAACGAGTGGACATCGGACAGATACAGTTCAGATATAGCACAACACAGTGAGTGAGATCTTTGCGGGAAATGAGTTCTCGGTCTCTGTCTTCTGGGGTGAGCATCCAGAATGTCCGGGTGCCCCGGTCTGGCAATTTATTAAATCGTTCAAGACGGAGTGTTAATTTCATGAGTCCACCGAGACTCGATAAGGTATTGTTCGGAATTGGTTTATCGAACAATAGTTGATAGTAGTTGGTGCCAACTTTGACCTTCCAGATTAGTAGGCAGTCTACCACTTTGGCTTGGTTGAGATTATCGAGAGATCGAATTGGCTTCTCGCATCTGCCGCTCAAGTATAAAAGCACCAGATGGAATGATATGACCCCATGCAAGGGGACGGACGGGAAATAAGCAGAACAGCCAATCTCGATGCAACCTGGGTTCAAGCCTGGGCACCTTATTCAAGGTCCGGTCCACTGAGCACACTGCGCTTTGCTAAAGAGCTCCAGTCAATGCACCCGTCAACCGCCCCAGGGCCCCCCCTGCCCCTGAACCAGCAAAAGCGACTCTTTCTTGCGAGCTCTGATTTGACCAACGACCCTGGTCAGGCGTTCAAAGCTTAGCGGGTTGCCGAGCGAGGCGCTGGGGATAGGCGGGTCTTGGTAAAGTCGGCACGTGCTTGGTGCGCGGCTAGGCAAGGTACTTGTACAGCCACCCGGACCTACAAGCCGGAATAAGTTGATAATGGACAACACTATCATAAGATTCATAAGTAGGATAAGACGTTATAAGTGGAAAGAAAATAACACCAAAAATCATCTTGAAGATCTAGTAGCATTCCTGTATAGTTGATCGATCAAAGGACTGAAAGATTCTGATTTGTGACCATCCAAATTTGGACTACGTATTATTATGAATGTCTCAGACACTACGCCGTACTAAATAGAAGCATAACATAACTTATTAATTATAAGTTGGTCACTACGGAGTATGTACTTGACCTCATTTTTCTCCATATCATGTCATTCATGACGTCCTCAAACATTCCAATCCAACGTTCCTCTTCTCCTATTTCTCCCACATCGGAGGCCACGCAACTTGATCCTAGGGTACAAAAACATTCAAGACACCGTTAGGATAAGCTCAGGCAACTTGAGGACAACCTTGGAAGACCCTTGATTAATTATTTTCGACCCCTTGGTCCAATACCCTCAGCTTTTCTGCCGGTCCTTCATCATTCCTCTCCCCCGGCGCCAAGGAACCTTATCCAGGCCTCCATATCGGACGCGAGTGTGTCTCCAATCTCAGCATCGATGATACCCTGTTGCCAACTGACATCAACGCACATCTCTTTGCCCTTGACGCTAATCGAGCTGATATGGAACACAGGCGAAGTGAGTTCGCAGCTCAGCTGAAACACAGCTCTCTCGATCTTCCAGCCTGAGCCTTCAACAGCCCCATCCAGTATTCCTAAATTGGATACACCCCAGGCACCTTCTCGGGGCTTCTTGAGCTGCTGCTTCTTTTGAACTCGCCAGTCTTTGACAAAGTTCATCAAGCCCGAGGGGTCATTTTCCATGCCCTTGTCGAGCTTGCTCTGAATATCCTCTCTAGCTTGCACAGCGGCTACCCAGACAAATTTCTCGAGTTGAGTCATGGCATGCGATTGTGATGGTATTCCTTTGGCCTTGGAGCGGATTTCTGTGACTAGATCCTCACCAAACAGGTGGTTAACAAGTGTCATCTGGTTATCCATGGTCGTACTGGGAACATGCCAAGGGTATGCCTCAGAATTGGCGGGGATGAAGCGACGGGTATCCAATGCGCTGATAGCAAACATCGACTTTGACTCTTGTTTGTGATGCTTCTTGCCCTCGTCTAATTGCAGGGCAAGCGATACCAGCGGTAGGGCATGCAAAAGGCCTGTAATGGTGGTATGATGCGCTCGGCATTTGCTCAGTACCTTCTTCAGCGTTGCATCTTCAATCGAGAAGGTTCTGAACTCGGTTTGGTAAGGCTCCTGGCGAATAGGGGCCCAGTTGGCCTGGGTTGGATCGTTTGATACCACAAGGAATGGAGGCCTCAGTTCTTTCCAGATTGTTGCCAAAGCGAATCCCCACGAAACTGGGATCTTGATAAGCTCTTCTGGAGGAGGGGGGAACCTGTCTGCAGTACTGCTAAGATGAAGTACGCTTCCATCCAAATTGAGTTCATGATCAGTCTTCGGGTCATTGAGGTTGCGTAACAGGGTCTGGTGCAGAATCTTGCCCCCTACACCATCGAAGTTGGTATGGTTCCAGCAGAAAATAACATCCAATGACTGGATACTACCCTCTGGCCATAGTACAGAGGTCCTCCACCCTGGCTTCGTTTCGACATCTGTAAACCAAGTATCGAGCTGGTTTCGAATCTCATGCTTCAAGGAACCCTCATAATCATCCGAAGCTTTAATCTCTTGCCAGCTAATATGCAGACCGAGATCGACAGTTTCCAGCTCAATCCATGAAGGTACAGCTGAGTTCTCGTTTAGGATACCCACTTGCAGCATGGGGTGTTCCCCTACTGTAAGTGCCATGGCCCGATGGAAGGCATTTCGGATACTCTCAAGTGAGCGGCTGACAAGATGACTCGGGAGACCAAAACGGCAGACTACTGCAGTACCACAGCTATGACGCAAAGTGTGCAAGGCTGAGTGGTACAACTCTCTGGTTCATAGTTAGGCTTGGTTCAGCTGATAGGAGTTGAAAGAGTCCATACAAGTTGCTCATTGGTCGAATAACTTTTGGCTCTTCTCGTAGTGCCATTTTAACGTATATGCTGCTCAGAGTGCCAGGAAATCGCTGTTGCTTTCGAACTCTATTTCATTCACGAGTATTACGGCGATTGGTTTTTGGCTTTGTTTTATCTGGTTTCCGAAGGATGCGGGCTCCGCGGGTCACCAGGTGAGCTTCCCGCGGATGAGCGAGTAGGATTCAGTTGCATATTCCTTAGCGGCAAAGGAATGCTTCTTACGGCCAAGGATAAGAGAGCTTATAATACTAACTTACGTAGGTAGTGCAGGAGAAGCAGCAAAACTTCAGGCTCCTCAGTAACAAAAAGACTTTGCTAAATTTATATGCTTATTAGACCTTAGATTATTATTTTTCTCTCCACCTCATGACAGTCACAAGTTTTCTTAGCATACTCTCAAAGTCATAAACATCCATATGCATGCCGCCTTTGCCATACCCTATGGCAAAATTGTGGTAATGGTTACCAGCAGGCGAATCGACGTTCACACCACCAAACAGCCCCTGAGATAACGATCCACCAAACAAAGCTGTGGCGTTCGTACTAATTTAGATTCCCGTCCTGTTCGTTCCCATTACGCGGCTTCGAATGACAAGTCGAAGTCCATGTCAACTGGTTGCCTCTTAAAACCCCCCTGAGCCTATGACAGGGAGTTCCATGCTAACTTAGCTACTGAATGACAGCCATTGACCCATCATGTAAGCTGGTTCATCAGACGGATAGGACCTCTCATGACATGTTCGTCGTTGGAGACATACTCCGTATGGATTGGCCAATTGTACAGAGTACCAGAGAGTTACATATTATCACATCAACATCGATACCACGGTCACATATGCCGCTTCACATGAATTGTACAAGTGGCTGTGCTAAAGTGATCACCAACGCCATCTATTTTGTGATCGAGTTTAAAACCCTGTCCGATTTGAACTAGATCAATCTTGATCAGTCTTCCCTGAAACATTCACTATTCATGCAGGCTGGAAGATCTTCATATAATTTCGAAGCCGGTTTGTGATCGACACTTCTTATCTGCCTATGAAAGGTATGCGCCTAATACACTGTGGGTGTCCCTCAAGCAGCCGTACAGTATCTCCTTGATCGCGAAACTCCTTCGGGGATAGTAACGGAATGGCCGGCAATGAGAGGCTTAGGTGACGAGGCACCGGTGTTATTCATATTCAGCTGCCCATGGATTTGTGATGATAGTGGTGAAGGGCTGAGCCCTCCCGGGGATAAATCTTCACCCTGATTATACTGGGGTTTGGGTCTCTACGATCGAAAGCTAGGAACGAAACTCCCCTCACAAGCCACTCAAGTTCGTCCTACTATCCATCCCGGAGATAGATCTAAAATTTTGCAAACTTGCGTATACCGCCTGTCGAGTTGCTGCTAGAGTTTAGCACTCAAGGCCTTTGTCGTATATAATTGCAGTCGCGTCACATGGTGTGTAGTATGAGTGTGGTTTTACGCGAATTAGAACCAAGCCACGGTCCAGGTCGCTGGCAGTTTGGGCCATCTTTCCTGCCATGAGGCCAGGATATCAGGCACTCGCTCATCAAAAGAGGCTCTGCTTGAGGCAGAACCATTGTCAAAGGACGAGGCACCAACAGCTTCGCGCTCTTCACGAGCAGCCGCGTTGAGGGAGTTTGCGAGATCCAAGATACCCTGCCCACCAATGGCGGCCTCTTCGTGGTTATCCTTAATCTCGACGTTGATGACATGTACGGGTCGGTTGAGCGGTGAACCCCTATTAAGGAGATCATCGACAACAGCATCCCAGCATCGCTCTTCACAGGTGATGACAACATCGACTAGACCACCTTCAGTACCTTCGCTGCCACGGTCCTTAGTATGTTGCAAGCGAGGTACACCGACTTGCCAGTCTTGCCAGCGTTCTGGGCCCCATTTGACGCCACGGTTACGGTTTAACATGTTAAGTATGCCGTTATTCCTATACAGCCGAGCATCCTTGGATTCAAGCTCCTTGAACATACTGTCATAAGAAGTTCTGTTAAAGTGATACACATTAGGTTGGCTGATGGAAGGTCCGGGCAGGCGGACGAGAGAACCAGTGCCGAAGGAGATGACAGGATAGTCAGCCTGAGACAGCCGTAAATGGGCTTCCATGGAGCTTCAAGATGAACATTAGCACAAATGTGTCAGAAGGAGACACGCATCTACGAACCGATTGTTGTTACTTGCACAGACAGTGCAAAACTTGAGTTTGTATCCGCCGTTGCTCTCAGATGAGCCATTCTGGCTCTTGGCCGAAGAGCCACCGTTGGCAACCTCCATATTTTTGAGTTTCTAGCCGGGCGAGAAAACGAGGTCGTTGGCGGGAGGATAGCCGCGTGGCATGCTTTGAAGAGACAAGACGATAGACTGTGCAGCACTGCGTTAGTGCATTGCATTCAAAAAGAGGCAGGTTACAAGAGAAGTGCAGGTTGATCATCAGATAAAAAAGCGTATAAAGTGTCTTTTCAGCAAAGAAATTCAGACAGCTCCAATATGTTAAACTCATCATGAAAGAAAAGGAAATCGCGCATGTTCCTACTTACCCGGCTCTTTAAGTGTCAAGTTGGCACACCAATAGCCACCTCATGTCATTGTTGTCCCGTTCCCTTTGGTACGCGACACAATCTGGTGATGTTTATTGAAAGAAGAGGTTGAGTTTTGAACTGTTGTGAAGTTGGGAAAGTTAAGCTAGGGCGAGCTGACGCTAGCTTACGGCTAAACTCCGGTATGATCTGATGAGTCAGCAAGCGACAGCTCCGATGCCAACGTGTGTAATAAATGAGCCAATACACCGGTCTAAGAACATTAGATCAGGGCCTTAGGTATTAAGATCATGAGCTTGTCTAATTATCAAGTTACCTAGGTTACAAAGCCATCACAGTGCGTGTTGGTAACAAACATGAGCAGTCACTTGGTCACGTGTCGCTCAGAGTACTGTAGTACAATATTGCCTTGCCTTCTTTTATACGATGTTGACATTGAGGAGGGGGGGAGGGGGTTAGGCTTGGTGTACTCTGCAATCAGACAGTTGATATTGATTCCTTGTGATTCTTGAAGCGACCAACAGAGAGATCTCCACCAGCGAATTTGATCTGCAATGGCTATTGGCTTTTAAACGCCCGCATAACCTGAAACAAACGACGCTTTGGTGTAGCCAATCAACGAAGACACCAAATTTAGCCCAGAATAGAAACCTCACCGGTCACCTAAGGCACCGGCTGGTCCTTTCTGTTCACGTTATACTCTGTATAAAAGAGCTGGACCATGAAAGAAGAAAGTAGAAAGCTGGGCGGGGTCTTGAGTTGTTGAATTTAACTCTAACTTTGAAATTGTACCAAATATACTATGTTGACATTTTGAGCCTCATGCCTGGATAGTATGGAAACAGCAGGTGGTTGCTATACTGCACCTCTCTTCCACCTGTGATAACCCTGCAGACTCAATTACACTACACCAACTTGGCACCAGATGCAGAATTGGATCCGTACTGGACGGATTTGTGGGCGGGACTCAGAAGTCATCAAAACCTCAGCCGCCGGGAGAGATCGCGGATCGTGACCCAGGTAAAGAACCTAGAGCGAGATCATCGAAGCACCGTAAACAATTAATTAAATAATAATAACATACATACGCGTGTATACCTGGCAAGAGGATCACTACATGACATGACGACCCTGTTCGTTTTTGCCTTGCTGCCAGCTCGCTACGTAACCAACATCGATCTAGATACCCCTGCCATCCAACCTTGGGGGTCTAGTTTCATGATCCTGCACACCATGATGATAGTAATTTCCAGAATAAATAGAGAGGGTTATTTCATTGCGACAGCAACGATGCAATAACCGGAGATTGCATCCATGGCAGCCCGGCCTGATCCATCTGCCAGCTGAGTTTACTTTCCTGTATCCATCCATACCAAGAAGAGATGAACAGGGTCACCTTTCCAGATTGAGGTTCCAACGGCCCGGGTGGGTATACAGGGAGATCCTCGCTCAGAGTTGTCGTACGTCTTGTTGGGTTTACCGTATTGTGTGTGCGTGTGCGTATGCGCATGCGCATGCAAGACGACGACAGTCATCTTTTCGGGATGAACACGAGGGAGGGCGAGAAAGGATCAAGGCTTCAGAGGGGTTGAAGACAAGTGCAAATGATTGTGTGGCGCCTTTGGTTGTTACAACCCGAATTTAATTAAGCAGATGGGCTGGATGAGATGCGGCTCCTCCAGCGTTGGTTGGGATAGAGGCAGGCGCATGCTTTGTCCAAAAGATATAAGGTAAGAAAGTTATTAACCTAGAGGTAGGCTTAAGGACCAGTTAACAGCTAAATCTTAACCATAAACTATTAAAATTACCAGTGAACGCCTAGGTACTTAGAATAGGGTATCAATGTACTCTCATCATTGGATTGGATGGACAGTTTACAATGACTTTGATCTTTGATCCTAAATTTAGGTCTAATAAATGCTGGAAATTTAGTCAAGCATAAGGTACCCCTCATTTGGGAACTGCCCGACCGTTGGATGTCACATTGAGCCAACAGGAGGTCTCTTCCATTACCCTGATATCTCTTCTCACTTGCATATCAACTCGTTACTAACATCATCCCACAATATACTCCTGCTGGCTAGCGCCCAGGGAGCAAGCGGCGACAAACTGATAGAAATATTCCATTCATATTCGAGTCTCATTGGGCTCCTTCTCTCCGACTTACAGGCGCTGACTCGCTTGATCTAAGACCCCTGACCAGTCGGATTGGTGCGTAAGGCGCTTGCTTCAGTGGTGTGGTGCGCTATTGCGCACAATTGTGCCCCCCCCACTACCTTACAGCCTCCAGCTCCCGGGCCCGGACGTGCCAACGGGCGACCTTACCGGGTACAGTACTGTCTCCCCCAGGTCGCTTTCTCGCGAGGATTGCTAAGGTGGGCAATCCATCGATTGATGGCCTTCCTCGCTCGCTTCTCTAACCCAACTTCACCTTACACTCATCACAATCCATCTAGGGATCATCCTACCCTAGTTCAGTTCAGTTCCGTTCAGCCCAGGCCAGGCCCTCTTTTGGTTTCTCGCCTCGCCTAGAGCGCAAGCGCAGGCATTTTTGATCAGACCCGACAGCTACTGTACAGCGTGGTGCCCTTGTTCCCGAGCACCGGCAGCAACCTAAGACCAGGGCATTGTTTTCTCTTCTGTTCTTGTTTCTGTTTCTGTCCAGTTGCTCTTACTTCTGCTTCTGCTTCTGCTTCTGCTTCTGCTTCTCTACGCTCCTTCGCACTTCCACTCCACACTTGTAACCGAATCATCTCGTGCTTTATCGCTCGACGACTGGTCGTCTGGCATTATCTGCATTAGGGCTTGGCTCAGCGTTGACTATTATACTTGGAACTCGACTGGAGCCCTTGCTGGCTCACGCCTTAGCGCTACGGCTGACTTGACGTCCGCCTCGACAGCTCAACTCGAACGAGACCAACTTGGAGCGTCTAGCATTACAAAACGCAAATCAAAATATCGCATCGAGCTCTTCAGTGCAGAGATCGCCTCCGCTCATCATTTTTGCCGCTTCAATCCCGCTGCCGATACCTAGTTCTTCTAGCGCACCCGTCTAACTGTCAGTCTTACTGCAGCCCCGCGAGACCTTCTCTGCTGCACGCTCATCCTTCGGCGTTTGCGCGGCCGCGTGCGCCAGATCGCACGACTGTCGCTAGGCCTTTTCCGAAAAGGCATGTCGACAACGGCAGTTATGTCTACGGCTTCTTCTCCAGTGACCTCTCCTTCAGCAGCCGCATCCTCTTCTCCGAACCCTAATCACCCCGCGCTGCCACCTCTAATCACCTCTCCGCCTTCGCGCCGAAGCATGCAATCGCGACCAATGTCCCACGTTTCCCGAAGCCGACTTTCCCAATACTCGACGGGCTCTCTGCCTACGAGATCCCGTCCGACCTCACATATGTTCCCGATGTTCCCCTCGACTCTCTCATATACCCAAGTGCGGGACTTTGCGTACCCTGCTACCCATCCTCTGCACTACGGGCCGCCGCCAGAACCTTCGGGACCGCCTTCCGGTATGACAACACCCGCAAGCGAGCATCGTAGGTTATCAGATCCCCCAGTGTCGTGGGAAACCCGTATGCCTTGGGAGTCGTGGGGTACAGATGGATTCAACCGTGGCCATGATTTGGCCCCCATCCAATTCGACGGTGGGCCCCCATATAGCGAAGACGAGGATCTGCAAAGCCCTGTTGTAGCTACACGCCACCGCAAGCATAAGTCAACCTCGGCGGCGACAACCCTGAGGGGGAGGACAGGTCGCGATTTTGATATGCATTCTACCAACTACGATCATGAGCGGGGCTACTATATGGGAACTAGCGGAGACGGTAGCGAAACATACTATGTCAATAACGGCGGCGAGGCCAACGGCTCTGGTGGAGATTTTGTTACATATCCTCCGGAGCAGGCAAGACACAGTCGGGCATATCACATTGCCCAGCAACCCCGGGCTGCTGAGGGCGGTGAGTACTATCAGCCCGAGTCTGACAGTTCCCCATCGTCTCCAGGCTACAATGACGAGGACCAGTCTCGCTATTCACGAGATTACCAGTTTACTATTACATCGCCGGACGAGGAGTTCCACGGCAAAGCCGTCGCCCTGTTCGATTTCGAGCGGGAAAACGAGAACGAATTGCCTCTAGTTGAGGGCCAGATTATCTGGGTGTCGTACCGGCACGGGCAAGGTTGGCTGGTGGCTGAGGATCCGAAGACGCAGGAAAGCGGCCTGGTGCCTGAGGAGTATGTCCGACTACTTCGCGATATCGAGGGAGGAATGAACAGCTTGGCTGGTCACCTTGTGGAGGGAACTGGCTCCCCTGATGTGGGCACACCTACTCAAGCGGAGCATAGCGGTCAATATGGCCATACTCCATCTTCCAGCAATGCGACTAACGGGTACCATCAGCCAATCGTGTCGATGTTCTCGACCTCGAGCAAAGACCTTGACCCGTATCCCACTGAGCAATTGGGCCTCCACTCCGGACAACCGCCTCCCCAAGTTATTCACTATCACGGGCAACGGGGAGGTAGCCAAGCAAACACGCCGACGATTGCTCAGCCTCAAGATACTGGTATTTTGAGGAGGGAGAGTCACGACGGTGGAACAAAGAGGGACTCGAATGTTACACCAGTACAGACGAAGCCACCAATGGAGTTGGCCGAGCCAGGGGGCTCTGAGGAAGCGAGGGGAGAGGAAAGGTGATATGGTGATTGAATAATAACGAATTGCATGCCATGCTTGAAGAGACGTTCACGATTCGATGTATTCTTCTAACGGAGCGGGCGAATATACCAATAATACCACAGCAAACTCCGACCGCCGCCAACAGGTGACTTGAGATTATGTATAAATATGCCATGTAGGCATGATGGGAGACGGCAATTTTCTCAGTCTTGTTTAAGGGCAAAAGTTATCTAGATTGGCTGTATGGAGTTATGGCGGAGGACAGAGGTCAATGAGTACAGAGGTTTCTTGAGCTACATAATGAGAAAAGGAGTTTCAGGGGGAACCACCGAGAGATTCAGAGCAGATGGAGTGGTGTTGGACGGGGTTAGTGCTATATTGCCGTAGTAAAAGCCGATGTTTCGGTAATCTATATATGAACTCATCAAGACACCTTAGTATCCTAATGCACCTATCATGAGATAACCGAGTTCCCCTTGTTAACCTAAACCTTTACTTTAACAGCCTGTATCCTATTGCCGAAGCTAAAAAGCTTGGAAGATGGAGAAAAGTACATGATATAAGTTGATTGGAGATTGCTTATTGTCGAGTTACTTGTACTACATTCCCCAAGACAAGCCATCACGCCATCGCTACTAGAGAAAAATCTATCGCTCGTCTTCATCCAAGCTTACTATATCACATCATACAACAAGCGAGCGAAGCTACCTATCGACAGCCGGCTTCCCGTAGTTTGACGTGCTTTGTCCGGGATATCACGTGACTCATAACGTCATCTCTTGTTTCGTCGCGATTTCGGAATACCTGGATACGCCCACTTCTCTACCTAGCTCTTCAGACGATACCAGCAACAACCTCTCATTCTCTATTCCTGGCCAATTGACCTTCAATTGACCTCATAATCAAGTCAAGATGTTCGCCCGATCTGCATTCCGCGCTGCTCAGCCTTTGAGGGTACGTTTTTCCTTGTCACGCGCATTTGCGCCCCTCCATCATGGTCTCTGTTTCGGATTATCAATCAGAACTACATCATTCTCAATTGCTCGTCGCGAAGCTTAACTAACTTACTCTCTAGTCTGTTCGTCGATATGCCACTGAGGCTGGAGGTGCTGGAGGATCCAATGCTCTTCTCTACGGCGCTGGAGCTGCTGCCGTTGGAGGTGCTGGCTACTGGTACTTCAGCAAGGGTGGAGCTCCCTCTGCTGCGGCCGCTGCTGCTGATGTGAAGCAGGCCGTTGGTGTTGAGCCCAAGAAGACCTTCACCGGTGGTGACCAGGGTTTCGTTTCCCTGAAGCTTTCAGATGTTGAGCTTGTCAACCACAACACCAAGCGTCTACGCTTTGAGCTTCCCGAGCCCGATCAAGTCTCTGGTCTGCACGTTGCCAGCGCCATTCTTACAAAGTACAAGGGCCCTGAAGATGAGAAGGCTACTCTCCGACCCTACACCCCTATCAGCGATGAAAGTATGTAGTCGAATTAGACCTCTTTAGCACAAGTAACTAACGATTACAGACGAGAAGGGTTTCATCGACTTGCTCGTTAAGAAGTATCCCAATGGTCCTATGAGCACACACCTCCACAACCTTGTTCCCGGCCAGCGCCTCGACATCAAGGGTCCTCTGCCTAAGTACACCTGGGAGGAGAACAAACACGACCACATTGCCCTCATTGCCGGTGGTACTGGCATCACCCCCATGTACCAGCTCGCTCGCGCTATTTTCAACAACCCCAACGACAAGACTAAGGTCACCCTTGTCTTCGGCAACGTCTCCGAGCAGGACATCCTTCTGAAGAAGGAGTTTGAGCGCCTCGAGAACACATTTCCCCAACGTTTCCGTGCTTTCTACGTCCTCGACAACCCCCCCAAGGAGTGGGTCGGCAACAGCGGCTACATCTCCAAGGAGCTCCTCAAGACTGTTCTCCCTGAGCCCAAGAACGAGAACATCAAGCTGTTTGTCTGTGGCCCTCCCGGCCTCATGAACGCCATCTCCGGAAACAAGGTCAGCCCCAAGAACCAGGGTGAGCTGACCGGTGCCCTTAAGGAGCTTGGCTACAAGGAGGACCAAGTGTACAAGTTCTAAGCGAATGATGCGCATGTAATGATAGAATTGAATGATGGCGACAAAGCATAAAGAGAACAGTGTAAGATGTGCTATAGAAGCGATATAGACGACGGGATGCCGTCTAGAATTGATAAAGTCAACCTACATTTCGATTTTGAGCATGCTTTAAAAGGGAAATGTACTTAGCATGCAGGCGCATGGGCAGTATGTGTTTATGCCTAAGCCTCATGATACCAACCCGTAGACTTATGATAAGATCACTAAGCCTTCTGGCAATAACGCTCAACTTATGTTAATAGTCCCAGGCTTATGATGCCATACTTCTTAAATACTTAAAAAAGGGAAGGTAAATTCCCGGTAGACGGACAGGCAACTATGTCCCGTCATGTGGCCTATAAAAAACACAGCATAATTCTCATCGCAATCTCCTAATTAGATGGCACGAAGACTCGCTAACCAGTTTCACATTTGAGCATAAATAGCTGTATAAATCCTAATTCCAGAACCAAAACAGCTTAATCCGAAAGGCTATCAATGGCATTGTTAATAGAGCGTCCAATAATGGCGGACCACTTGAGACCGTTGATGTAGTCCTTGGCGTCGATGCTCTCAACCCAACCAGGGAACACAGCTAAATAATCGTCAGCATCTGAGTAGTGTTCAATTCGTTTAGAAACTCACCTCCAGAATAGCCAGTCCATATACCAGGCGCAAACACAACATGCCTGAACCAGTCTCGACCATCCAAGCCTCCTTCGTAGAGAAAGCTCCTTTCGAGCAGCTTATATCTCCTGTTGACTCTGACGATGGTATAGCCGAGACGAATCTTTTCAACGATGTTCCACCATGGGATACCTTGCTCAAGCTGATGTTTAGCGATTTCAGCTTCAGCGTCGAGCTCTCTAGCCTTCAGGTGGAAGTGTTCAAGGAGGTCACGAATATCCTTGAGGCTCGTCTTGAAATCGTCCTCGTTGCCAATCGGCTCGCCAGGTGAGACGGCACCACGGATATTGAAGATCTCCTCCTCAGTGATAGCGTCCTTGGTAGGCTCTAACTTGGCCTCAACCTGGTCAAGATAGCCCTCCAACGCATCAACGTACTCGGTAGCACTGAAGGGAATGATCACGTTCCCGGCAAGTTTGGCAATGGTCAGACCCAGGATTTGGGCCATGGTTCGGTGGTACTTGAATCCAATGTCACCGTACTCCTTCATCCAGTAGAAGCTGTCATAGTTACTGTGGTAGTGATACACAGCGCTGTTGCCTCTGTCCTTGAAACCAAAGTCAATACAGGGAATACCTGCATGATCCTGGAATGCGGTAAAATCACTGCCGCTGCCCATGGTAGCGATCCTGCCCGACCAGAGGTCATTGACTGTCTGACCAGGGATAGTCTGATTGGGCGAGGGGACAGCGCTTGTGACGTCGCGGATGATCTGATTGAGAAGAGGAGCTGCAGAAGCAGAAAACTCGGGGCCCGAGACACCCACGTCGACATTGACGTAGGCAACGTTTGCTTCTGAGAGCCACGGGAGATATTCTTCAACCCATTCAGTACTGCCGATGAGTGAGTATTCCTCGCCATCCCAGCTCGCGAAAGCGATAGTTCGAAGAGGCTTCCAACCAGCCTCGACGGCCTTTCCAACTGCTCGGATGACCTCGTTGATGACTGCAGAGCCACTGTTGGGATCGCCAGCCCCGCCAGCAATCCAAGCGTCTCGGTGGTTTCCAACGACGATAACTTCATTTGGGATAGTACCATTGACGACGCCGATAACGTCCCAGAGAGGAGTAGTGACGTATTTCTGTTCGTTATAAAGATTGATGACAACATCATCTGGAGTGGGTCCGATGTTGTATTTGATGCCCTTGTACTTCAAGCCGAGATTCTTGTTCCAGTACTTGTTAAAGTGAGTGGATTTTGGACCGTGACCATTCAGAGCTTTGAGGATAGGAAGGGCATCACGGTATGATATAGGGATGGAGGGGATAGAAGGGGTTGCATCATCGACTGGTGCTCGGGGAACACCAGGCTTGGAAGGATATCCAGGGGTAGATCTAGAAGGTCAGTCAAATCTTTGCATTTCTCTTCAGGATTATGGGGACATACGGATCACCAGGGCGAATGCTCAGAAACTCTGCGCTTCCACGCTGAACAGAACTGGGGTTACGTGCAGGCCCTTCAGGGTAAGGCTTGTACCCGTTCTCCTCGGTCCTTTCTCCATCATCACCAGGGTCACTGTAGATCAGGATGCCAACGAAACCGAGTTCCTGTGCACGTTTGACCTTGAGGCCTCGGAAGATTCCTCCATATCGAGCAATAGCAATCTTGCCCTTGATATCAATTTTAGCATCAACAAGATCTTGATAGTCTTGATAAGTGCCATAATTGACGTAGACGAAGGAAGCAGTGACATTTCCACTCGCCGAGTAGCCGTGAAAGATGGGCACCCGGTTTTCGAGAGACGTTGTGGGGTCTTGGTCGATTACATCCTCCTCGAGAGAGGCCTTGAAGGTGGTATCCCAGTCTTTCCCATTCTTTGACTTCTTCAGGATGCAAACGCTGGAATCAACGGGATAGTTGAGGTAGGCGTCATAAGCCACAATCTCAGACTTGACACCAAATTCCTCCCATCGATCCCTGGTCCACTCGGCCTAGAAGAGATGAGTACAATACTTCAAAGTGGCCATCTGTTATGAATCCTTACCTGTGAGTAGTTGGCGCCGGCCAAATGGGGGCCCGCTGTATAGTAACGGCTCCATTCCTCAGCCTTCTTGGGGTCCGGCGTATCAAATAGAATACGTTCAAGTTCCTCGTAGCTTAGACGGCTCTTGCCGGGTAACCAAGAGCCAGGGTGGCCGTGATGATGACGAGGTCCAATGAAGAAGGTTTGAAAAACGAACAAGCCAAAACCGCCGAAGAGAATCACGGAGCAAATCAGAGTGAAGAATCGACGCCAGGTCTGGTGAGGATACCTCCTCCGGGGAGGGCCGACCCGAACGGTTTGGATGAGAGGCGTATTCTCGTCTGGCATTTTCTCCTGCTCCTGATGGGAGGAGTTACTGAGGATTGTGGTTTAGTATAAGTCTCAAGCCTTGGTGGAGGACTTGGTCCAGGTTGGATGACGATGTCCGGAAAGTGGAGGGAGATAATGGTGAAGGTCCTGTAGGTGTTGAACTCACATCCGACTCATGATGAAGGCGTCTTGGCAGCTCCAAAGGCTTTTTAGATTTATTTACTCATGTGATGGGAACCTGAATAACGATGTTGGTCAAGGTTGAAACGTGAAAGGAACCCAAGTTGTAACAGGAAGTTGTAATGTGATGTGATAGGCGATATTGATGACGAAACAGATTCTGAGAGATGATTGGTCAATGCTATCATGCAGTGGCGCCGCCACCCCCAGCCTCGGCTGAAGATGATGAAATCGGTATTCATCATTTATTCAGAGTCAATAAAGAAAGGAAGACTAGAAAGAGATTTCCTATATTTAGGATGATGATACCTAAACTTGGGATTACTTTTACCATGTTAGTCCTAAGATTTAGAGCAGGTAATTCTATAAAGTATCTACTTAGGCAGTATCTTACCTATCTTACAGCTGCAGCTGTCTCTTTTTGGCCCCCGGGACTTACCATAGCTGCTTAAATAGAACTCGATAAAGGAATGTGTACAAGGATATTAAGCTGGCTTATAAAATAAATGAATCTCGTTTGTGGCTCATATGACAAGCAGACAAAGCTCACAGAAACCTTTAAAGATGGTGATCCGCCGCCAGACCAGCCAAGTGCTCGGCACGGCAATAGAGCGGAGACAAAGCGGGGAACATCCGGAGGCTTGCAGGACGGGATGACTGAAGCACTCTAGGTACTCTAGGCACTTTACTCCGTAGGGCGCGCCGCTTTCGGGGGGCGGCAGAGACAAGTGACAAGATGATGGTTGACCCCGGACTAAAATCGAGATAATCAAGTAATAATGGTTGCACCAGACAAGCCGAGTTCGCCTTACCCAAGCTAGCCAAGGTCAACTGATTCTCGCCTACAGAGTAAGACTTTCACTGTACTGACGTTACCTCGCCATACTGTCTACAACTACCGTCCAAGTAAGTTATCCTGTGCGTCATGCTATCTCACCGATGTCTCACAGAAAGAATCTTCCCACGGAAAGCAGACGATGGTAGCAAACCCCCGGGCGAGTATGCATTACAAAGTGCTCCTGTGACCCCATCCTTTACCAGGCATTCACACCCACGGGCTTTAAACCTGCGGGCCTTTTTGGAAAAGTTGGGGGCATTTTCTTCCAATTATCAGGCTCCTGACCGCAAAATTGTCCATAATATCCCTGCTCGGGCGGGTTCGTCCTCTGGAGGTTGGAGCAGTGGATCGGAACCCTTTTCTGCACTACCCTGTCTGTGCCGACCAAACCGTTTCTGGCCTCAATGATCCATAATTATCTTTTCTGGTGGCTTGCTTGGCTTGACCTCTTCTACTACTTTGTAACTGTGACTGTGAACCGAAACTTCTTCCTGTTTTCCCTCCCTTATTGTTTGGTGCAAGAGTTGAGATATTGATGAGTTGATCGTGTGTATCGTATATCCAGATTAACCATCCTTCGTGTCACCGTCTCGTTGTACATGATACTCGCTGGTCTTTGTTAGAAACAAGAAAATTTATTACTTCAAACCTCCCCTCTCCACTGTTACTCTTTGCGCCATCGTTCCTCGCGATGACGACCAAGGACGGTCCAAAGCTGCCCAAGCAGCAACTGGCGATTCTGGGTAAGTTTTAGTATTTCATCATTTCATGGCTACCTGTAGAAAACCTTGAAATAGGTATAGGTACCTTGTTGTGTTTTCACCTGCTTGGTATCAAGATGCCAATATACGAGCATGGTTCACGGTCCAAATACCATGAGCCTCAGCCAAATACCAAGTCATTACCATTCCCCATTATTCCCGTCCGAAAGTGTGCGCCCATATATGGAATCTTATAGAGCGTTTCTCATCAACAATAGAGGCA